ACACAAACAGATGTATATAGGCATATACAGACATAGATGTATACATACACAGATGTATGGAGAGAGACAAAGGCAGAGGCAGAGAGAGATCTAGCAGTGAAATTCTCTTACATCTCAAGTCACTACAAAACTTAGTCCTGAATTTTCTCATTCGTTTTCCCAAATGCTCTGAACACCAGCCTGGCCACCCAAAGTGTCAGGCACTGTACAAATGCTGGAGCAGCCCTTTCCTCAACAGCTGGTGTTTTAAACATGTACGGAAAGCAGGCAACAAACTGCAGGAAGAGCAGAGAAAAGACGATGAGGTTAACAGCAAGATCGACTACGGGCCAGCTATACACACAGCTTGTCCGGGGGTGGGGTTGCATTAGATCTGAAAACAAAGTTAGGAGGGTTTGTCAACTGGAGATGGGCAAGTTATGCAACTATTTGAACATGAGCATGCCTGCCTGCTCAGAAAGGAGATTAGGGACTTGAATATGCTTTTATACCTGCTAAATAATTAGTTTCAAATAACCAAGTCCACTCTGCACTTTTCCTCTAAATAGCAAAATGTGAATGAATCATTTGTAAATTTAGACATGAAGGCTGGAATTTTTAAAGGGCCCTGACAGCATTAGACAAGCAGCAACCAACGGTGTCCCTGAGATCTGTCTACATGTTACCAGTGTGAATCCTCATAGGCTTGCACTACTTTTACATGCTTGCCAAAGAGGCGTTACACGTATTCCACCCAGAGATACTCTTCTCCCCGCTCCCCAACACTGGTCCTTGCAGCCTGGGGAAAAGCACATGGCCCAGCCCTTGTAGCCCCACAGCTCTGGGGGCTGATGGATCCTGGCCACAAGCCATCCACTTCATTGCTATTCCCTGTTTAGCGCCTTGCTCTTTGTCCTTTCCTTTTCTTTTTTTTCCCCAAATAAACTTAATAATATTTTATCTGATAATACTATGGTGAAGAAAAGCCCCTGTGTTCTACCAAGGTCTGGTGTCCAAAGGGTTAAACCTAGGACTAGAAGAATCGGAAGCAGACTTGAAGAGACATACACCATCAAAATGCCTTGTCCATATCTTTTTGACACTTTTGTTCCATTAACAGCTATTATTTCTGGTTTCGCTGGCACGGCATACCTAAGCTATTTAGTACTGGAGGCAGATGCTAGTACACAGTGCACTGTCCAAACAAAGCCGTGATCTAAAACAGTCTTAGCGCCCTTTACCTGCATCCTCCCTCCCTCCTCCCATCATTTACCCAGGGTTACAATTCAACACAAGTGAACTTCCAGGCACTGGTTTCCATCTCTTGTTTTTCTTGCAAACTTATCGGGAAGTATTGCTCTGTTTGATGTCCTGAGCACAGCAAAAATCTTCTGATCACTGATTCACTCACTTTGCTTTCCCACTTCACGTTGCCTGTACTGGGAAGGTACCTGAAGCTGATGCAAGGAGAAAGACCAGTCCTTTCTGGCACAACTGTATTTTTCTACTTGTTGATTGTACATTGCACAATGCCTTTAGTTTAATAAACTGCAAATGTCCATGTCCCACCCCCCACCCCCCCAAAAAAAAAGAATAATCAACACCTCCATAACACCACTGTATGCAGCTGGCCTCCAGCAGTGGCTGGGAACTCACCATGATCCATAGATGTAACGAACCGCAGAGCAGAGAATGGACTGTTTATCACCATTTCCAGACACACTCTTAAACAGCCTGATTTTATTATACTTCCAGTGTTCATATGGCAAATCAAAGTGCTTTCAAAGAAACAAGAGTTACCCAATTAACCAGAATGAGACAGCAGGAAAAAACACAGTAGATGATTGAAAAACAGCCTTGCTCCCCACTCCAAATCTATTAAAAAAGCCTGGGTGAACAGTTGTATTTTGCCCTGCTCCTTTTAACCTCCAAACTGAGGAAACTAGAGCTGGTATATATTCTTGGAGATAAAACCACCTTTTTCTGATAATTCCTTCACACTATATTAAAGCATCACCCCTGCCTCCCTGCACAGCTATTTTATATAGTTGCTGAAGCTTCCAGGGTGTCCCTGGGTGAGCCTCCCATGAGCCAAGCAGAGGCAGGGGTAACCTGGAAGGAAAGCTTATGAAGCTTTGGAGTGGTACACATCAGCAGAAAGTGGTAGGCAACAACCTGAGCAGCTCCTGGATGGTGCTTTCCTGGATGCTACAATTTATCCAGCTAAGATCAGGAGTGCACAGGCCAGGCTGAATCACACCTTTAGGGAGTGCTTTTTTACAAAGACAAAAAATACAAATTTTTCCCAGTCTTTTCAGGTATCACAGACCTTGAAGAACTGAAAAATAAAAAGAGTTATACTCAACATAATCATTCTTAAAATCCTCTTGACTACTTCATCTACCCTTTCTATCCCCCCACTACCTCCTTTTCTTTCAATTTTGCTTTCAGTTTGTGAAGTTCTGATGGAAATACTTTCTGCATGCATGAATAACAAATATTCACTCATATGTTCTCCTGGCAGAAGTCCCAGGCCTCGGAATATTAAGTCGTCAAGCAGGTAACAGTACTTGGCTTAGGACTCGGGGTCCTTGCAAGAACTTGCGCTGGTTGTATTCAAAACATTAACAGAAAAGTCAGTGGGTCAAAACTTTCTGTAACTGAAACCCCATATCACTCTCAAAAATCCATCAGAGTCAGGGACAAGCCAGTGAGACTGGATGGCAAGGGATTTTTTCCCAATGTTTGTCCTTTCTTCCTTTTCATGTCTTTACTGAAATATGCTAATACCTTGCAGAAGTCTTTCTTTGCTCACAATTTCAAATCTGTCAAATAGCCTGGGCACCTTTTAAGCTTTGGCTGGGTATTAGGTTCTTTGTTTCCCTGAATTTTATTAATGATAATCATATTTCTAAATCATTCCTAATATATTTTTATGAGGAAAGTTTTTCCACTCAGGTCCTCTATTTGCCCTGTTTCTCTTACCTGCTTTCCACTGTACTTAAATTATGCTATAAATATTTTGAAACAGACTTTCACTTGCTACTATTACATTTCTGAGAATTTGAGTGTGCTTATGTCTGTCAATATTAATTCCATAAGCTTGCAAACAAATGTGTCTTCCTTGGAGTGAAAAATACAGACCTACCAACTCCCATAGTTTCTGCAATCACGGCATATCAGCCTCTTTCCATCTGATCACAGAATAGGCATGGGGTGCTCTCAGTATACAGTATGTTTGATACACCACCTTTTAGGGCATTCATTGATATTATTTCTCAGCACTTTTTCAGATATGTTTGATTCCCTTAAAGAATTTTAAGTTGTAAGCCCAGCATATGAAGCATCCTTCCCTCTTCTGTCATTTTTGAAAGCTTTTTCCTCACATCTTTTTCAACAAATAAAAATTTGTGTTGCTGTGGTTTGGGTTTTTTCTTCCTTTTTTCCTATGCTTCAGTGTATTAAGGAAACAATGCTTATCCAGCTCCTTATGACCACTAAATCTGCTGGAACATTTCAATCTTACCTGAAAGAAGAGCAGAGTTTCCAAAATGTAAAGTTCATAAATGCTTTCATGCAAGTAAGCAATCACCCTGAGGACAGGTACTTGAATCAATCTTTTGCTCCCACTGCAAGAAAGGATACAGCACAATTATAATAGTGGAAAAGTCAAAAGAAGGGATATATTACAAATGCTTCAGTGAAGAAAAAGCTCCAGTTTTGCTTGTATGAGCTGAGAGATGGGACTGTCATTGTACAAGATAAAAAATTAAAATAAATTAGACCTTATAAATTCTGTGTTGGAACTACTTTCTCATCACTGCCTCTTCATTAGCGCAATTATATGTGATTGGCACAGACTTTCCTGGAATATTGCTCACTTGTGATCCCCAAACATACCCCGACAATGAGAAGCAAAATGCCTCTGTCTTGGTCAACCCCAGAGGTTTTATACATATACTGCCATGCTTCTGTAGAGCAGGATTTATAACCTCACTGAGAGAATCAGTATTTCCAACAAGTCTAAGCAATAGGCGTGATGCAATTATAAATTATAAAGCTCAAAAATAATAAAGGTGTGCATCTTTTCGAGTTGTGATTTCTCTTTTTTTTTTTCCAGTCATATAGATATATCATATATATCACCTAGAACTGGCATATTCTATATACATAAACCCACAAATTATTCTACATCTTGAAGAAATACCCAGTCCACACTTGGCATGCTCCCAGACTGACAGTGGCATTAAACCTACTCACAGTTATACTAGTCTTAAACTCTGAATTAAAGAAAAACTTTAAGAAGTCTCGAGATTCCCACTATGAGTTCCCTTATAGGAAATTTGTTATTTACTCATGTCACAGGCTGCTCCAAATGTAAGTATATGAAAAGCTGCATTAGTTCTAGCTTTCTCCATTGATTTAGCATGTGTGACTGTTCATATTTGTATAGTACATTTGCCTATGAATTGCATGCACAGTAAATAAGTGTCACATTTCAGCAGTGCCCAGGAACCCTGGACATTGATCCTGGGTCAGAATTACCAATCGTCTGCTACAGGAGAAAGATTAGCATCCTCTGAACTAAAAGCATTAAAAGGAAGGATGCAGCATCATAGGATTGGTGGCTAGGCTCCACACTCACTTTCTGCCTTAAGATTACTATGTCACACTTTCAACATAGGCATGGTGTCCCAAAAAAGTCCTGTGTTTTGTGAGAGCAAATGGAATCACACCTCTAAGTTTATTGTTCCTTCTTTATATATAGTTCCTTATTATAACATTTATATTTATGGGGGGGATTTTTCTTTTCTTAGCTTCCATTATTTTCAATTATTACTTTTGGAATTTATTTGTTACCTTGTTAATCCTGTTTCATCATTTCTTTGTTACATCTCATCTTTCTCCTCTTTGGAAAAGGTTTGTAATTTCCAAACACACAAACGCTTTAGTGCAGTGCAAAGCAATGGCAGACTTCTCCTTGATTACTTGCCTGAATGGTGTCAGCAAAGAAAAAACAGATGTCGGAGACACAGCTCTTAAAGGCCAAACAGGCCAAATTAAAGGAAAATGAAAAGATGTTAGGTAAATTCACTCATTCTTCAAACAAACTCATATTCCCTATCTAGGTTTTAAAAAAAATTGCCATTCCTCCAACAGAAATATTCAGGAGTGTTTATGGTCTGCCAGATGATTGGAGTGTAATAAATGTAATTTTGCAAGCTTGTAAAATATCTTGACATTGCCTTAAAGAAACCACAATAAACTACCGCGTTGAATTGCTTTACTTCCATTTCTATACCTTATTAAACCAGTATGCAGAAGATATAGCAGCAAAACAAGGGAAGTTTACCTATTGCAACACTAGAAATAACTGAAAATAGCTTAAAAAATAATTCTGTCCATTAAAACACAGTGTATACCTCTTTAAGCTTTGCTACAAGCCAGATCCTTATCTCAGATGCAGGCAAAGTGCCCATTTACTTCAATAGGAGCCGCATATGCATATTCTGAAGCAGAATTTGGTCTGGTGTGTTCATTAAGGGCTTCTGAACTTAAGATGTTACTTTGACGCTCCAGAAAAGACCTGTAGTACAGATAAGCTCCTGTTGATTCCTGGTGAAGCTACCTCTATTGCTGTTTCAGGGCAAGTCCCAACACTGAGCCTGCTAGTGTTCCCCTCAAGCATGACATGCACCTACAGAATAATGAAGACATTGAACCCTTTGATTGACAGAACCTCATAGAAATGATGCACAGAAAAGAACAATTATTGCAACATCGTGGCAAACCCCCTCTTGGATTGAAACTCCCTTTTCATCTGCAGGCTGAGGAGCATGCCAGGATTATAAACTATTTATAAATGGCTATTGCAGGTACACAAACACGCACAATGTTCTAGGAAGTTAAGTGCTACAACTTCAGATTCAAGAGCTCCAGCAGTGCGTGCTCCTGGCAGCTCCCCAGATGTTCAGAGTCAGTGGCTGGAACTGCGGCAACTGTTGCCTGCACTCCTTGCCCACCTCCACCCACCCAAGGACAGTCTTCTGTCATCGAGCAGATCATAGACCTGACTGCCAGGTCCTCTCCAGCTTTGGGCCAACCCACAGCCTTGTTGTAGCTCACAGAAGAACTTGGCCTCAGGAACCCCATCAGTCACCTCTCCTCTCCTCCTCTCAAGCCTGCCTTGGATGACCCTCCCATGACAAGAAGCATTTCATCCCTAAGAGAGCCATTGCCATAGAAACTGAAATGCTGTCAGGTTTCAGTAACAAATAAAAAGATCGAGTCATTTTCCATGTTTGTCAACTTTGGCACAATTTGCACTATTCCAATCCGTGCTGCTCTTGTTCTCTAAGCAGTGGGGTTTTTTCTAAGCAGAGGTACTAAATCTGTTCTCATGCCCTAATTTATAAAGGCTTCACATTGTCTCTCTCCTGGTTTTATCTGGGTTATCACATCACCTCCCTTTTCCTCCCCCCACCCCATTATCCTGGATAAGGGAGATTTTTTTTATACTTGCAATTTTTTGCACAGACTATGAATCTCAGACACAGGCCTGGCACAGGAGCTGCCCACTGGGCTCTTCTGCCATCGACAGACCACAGTGGCTACAGACAAGCGAGTGCCCCTGTTTGCATCCTGGCACATCACCTTCAGCTGAAATCAATGGTACATGGTACACAACACCTGACCCATAAGAAGCAGTGCTGAGAAGCTGGTACATAGGCATTTTTCCCAGCCTTTATCCTAGAGTGACCTCCACAAGAGGAAAAAGGTGGGCAGCAGGAACAGGTGACTATCTAGTTTTGGAGCATCTCTATGAGCTTTCTGATGTAAATCTCCTCTCTTTAGCTGATGGCCTGGGTCTCTCCTCCTTTCCCCTCTGTTAATCCCTCAGGGAGGAGAAGAGCCAGTAGACAGAGAGAGTACTCTCCAGTAGAGTACCAGCTGGAAGAGAGTCAGTGCTCCTGTCTAACACATCACCTCCAATGCACACCAGATCAGAAACCACACGTTTAAAAGGGAGAGCAAAACCAATATTCCTAGTACTCAGAAGCAGAAAAAGCAGAACGCATCTACCTAGCCAACCTCCTCTGCTCACCATCTTTGATGCTGCTGCAATGCCAATGACCCTGTTCACACAGTGCTAGAGCCCACTCCAGTCCTTGGCTGCATGAGTGAACCAGCACAGCCCTCCAGGTTAAAACAACAAACGCGTATTCTAGCTACGGTGAGCCCTATCTCAGCATGATTATGCATCTATCTAGGAATTTGTTTCATCCCTGTGCCAGAGATTCAGCCTCTGCAGAAAGCAAAACTGCAGCAGCAGAATTTTTCCAATGCTACACACTAAAGTAAAAATTATCTCTTTCATTTCCCATAGCACCGTCTCTTGGAGGGCCTGACACGAGAAGAATACACCTTATTATACCTCTGCAGTTTGTAATCCCAGATCAGCCTTTACACACATGGGGAAAAGTAGCTATACAGAGCTCAAAGGATTTCTTTAAGACTAAAAAAAAAGTTTACGATGGAGGCACGAGGGAGACACAGCGTTGCAGACTCTTCTGTCTTTTAGTCCCAATATTGCTTTTTTTGTACAGTCCTGGTCTCCACAGATCCTGTTGCTCCTCCACTGGAGAAAGGAAAGAGCTATTTACATTTTGACCCTATATCCTAGGCAGAGGCAACAAAAGCAAACATCAGACTAATGTTTTAGCTGCAGTTTGACAATAGATTCATTAAAACAAAACAGCCCTGCAGATTTGGATTATAAACAAGGCAATTAACAACAACCAAAATTTGCAACCTATTAAAACTATTTTGGGAGCCAACCCCTCAGCGGTATCTCAGAAGGTCACCTCAGAAGGGCATACCAGCTGCTATCAGCCCAGCCTGTGGCTCCTTGGCTCTGGTCAGTGTCAAATCCATCCGCCAGCGCACACCCCAAAGCAGCCCTTGAGTCAATCCATGTATTTCCAGCTCCCAATTAATTAATTTGGCAGCTGGCTGACACCACACCCTCCTTCCTTGGCCACACTCATTATGCCGGGCCCAGGGGGAGAGCGGGGGTGCAGATGCTGTTGCACTCTTTTATTTCTGGCATACGCCTGGAGTGCCTCGCCGGCTGACTCGTGCGGGGGATTGCTCCCATCCTGGGGCTGAGGCTATTTCAACCAGCTCTGGGAAAGGTCAGGAGAAGATCTGACATATGCAGACCTGGCAATCGTCTCTGTCCCAGCCTCCAAAACCAAAGTACAAGGGAGTTCACCAATTTTCCAGAGTCCCATTGCCTTTCGGCACCTCGCTTTTGGGTTTTCCAGGCTGCTACAGCTCCCCACACACCTGTCAGAGTGCGGCACGACTGACACAGGACTCAGAAAAGCTGCATTCACCCAGGTGCACCCAACCTGGAAGGTTCTTGGCAGGTAGCAATAGTGATCACAGCCAGGTCTGGGCTTTTGCCTCAGCCAAGGCTTGAAATAACAATGCCTGGACCCAGGCTCCAGCCAGCCCTTACCCATCACCTGCAGTATTAAGAAACACCGGCTCTGTTGCTGGGAGTCACAGGCATTTTGCTTACTGTACATGTCCTTTCAGCATCCAGCAACAATGCGACTTACTGTATTACTCCTTTCTTCACATTTCTTTTTTTTTTTCCTTACAGAGGAGTGAGATTTGTCAAAATCTCACTCCTCTGTAAGAGCTTTGGATACTTTGGCATAGCTCCAGTTATCACTTCAAGTATGAACTTACAGGTTACGGTACTTACGAAACTCTGCTATATACTCCTCAGTTCATAGAATATACTCAAAAATAAAATTTGTTATATTATTTGCCCATCTCTATAAACTATTAAAGATTTTTCTGAAAACTTTAACATGTCAGTGACTTTTATTTCGATGTATTTTCAAAGGATGCCAGTAATTCTCTGAGGTTGGAAATAATGCTGGAATGGCAGTGTGCTCCTTCCACACAGCTCATAATAAATTGTGTAGTGTAATAGTTAGATAGTAGAGATACTATAGTACATTCTTTTGTTTTAAGAAGTTTTGAATTTCTATATAGCTATGTAATGCCCAAAAGTTCCTTATGTTTTAATCACAATACAGAACAGTTTGTCTATTTACCTTAATTATTCATGTTGAGGTTTTCAAGGTTCTTTGTCTTTGTGTTCCCATCCTATGAACTCATCAAGCATCAAAGTTTGAAGCATTTTTTTAGCTTGTGTTCTGAATATATTACAATTGGCATCACACCATAAAACACTTTGGCAGCCAAACAAATAGTTTTACGTGAAACCCAACATAATCATGGGTTATTGAAATATACTTCCTGTACATGCCTGGAATTCCCCTAATTAGCAGAGTATTTTCCAATCTGTCCAAAATGTATAATGCCAAAACCACAATGAATTTTCTCTCTTGTCCACCCAGGGCAGTCAACCATTTCACTCCATCTATTTTGTAGAGCCACCTGTAACATGAAGGGAAATGAATTGCTTAAATTCTCTGAATGCATGATTTTTTGTCCCATTGACTTCATATAGAGATTACTTTGCCAGAAGTCTCACAGGGTAGCCCAAAGCAATTACACTTGATAAAACACTATATATAGCCACCTATGGGTTCTTACACTTACTGTTTTCTTACTCTTACTGCTTTGCCTGCCAACACTACAAATCCCAGCATGCCACTTTGCCGTTTACACCAGCAGAAGTTTTCTAGATTGTTTTTGGGGGTTGGTTTTTTTTATGAATTGTATTTTGGGAAATGTAGTTCTGATCAGCTTTACACTTCCCATCTACTTTAAGAGAAAAAGTTAGTGTGAGACAAGTTAGAGACTAAATTTGGGACAGTTTATCAATGCAGCCCTCCACTGGCAAATGCATGAGAAATTCCTTTCTGAAAACAGGGTGGTTTTTTTTAAAAAAAAACAAAATACACTTCTCATTTGCAGGTATCACTGAAAACGTATATCCCAAACACAACTCCATTATTGATACTGGAGAAAACTTCAGTTATATAAAGATTATCCTGTACTTCATTATGCACTGTGGACCTAAATTCCCAGGCAGAAGTAGCTCCAGTTTAAAAGCTTTCTGTGGTTTTCAGCACAGAAACTAAAAAAAAAACCAAAAAAACCACCAACAAACAAAACCAACACATGCCCTTGGTGACCAATCATGCAGAATAAACAGCAGATACTGATAAACTCAGATTTTAAGGTAAGTGCAGCCCATAGGTTGGAATGTATTCAAATAAATCTTTCCATATAATGAACAAATGTTGAAGGTCAGAAACTATATGCAGATAACTCACAAACAGCAAAAGAGACTGAACTGTACAATAAAGTGTTAATTACAAATAAACTACCTCTTTTCTTGATTAGATACAGATCTTTTAATAAAACTTCATAAGTCTTCAAAAGAAGAGAAACAGTGTGAAAATGTAAAGAAAAAGACTTTTCTTCTATGGTGGTGAACGCTACCAAAGTTCAAGAATATAATATATTGTGCAAAACCAGATTCATCTTTCTACATTAATTTCCAGGTTTTGAAACTGTGGACTAGTTTTTGAACATGTTGACCTGGAGCATTATCTTAGATGACGCATAGTCCAGTTGATTCTAGCACTGATTTATGGCCTCAGTCATAACTGAGTTCTACATTAATCTAGAAATTAATATTTCAGTCTAAACATCCTTTCACACTCTCCACAATATAACTTGTCACTGTTAATCTCCAGCCTCGATGTTAAGCATCTCCTTGCTTTCAAACTGTAATACAGCATGTACTGTATTTTTTTGTGCTGCTGCTTGAAAGAATGATTGAGGACTGAATTGATTGAAAAGCTTGATTTATCTTGTCTGCAATTTTCAGTAGTGTGAAGTGATTTTATATATGAGAGAAGGTTCTTTGATTAGCTTGCCATAGTCTAGAAAGGCTAAACATTATGGGCATTAAAATTTCAACACGAATGTTATCCCTGCAGTAAGCACAATAGTGACATCTTATGCCTATCAATACATGTATTAACTGAAGTTCTGACACTTCTCAGTAGAGATTTACCTCCAGAGCTTTGAGGTTTGAGAAATCAATATATAACCTACTTTGATGCAATCCACACACTAAACTACATTAAAATAACATTAGGGCTTGCTTTAAGCTGACAACAGTCAGGAAATGCAGAGCTAATCGCAAAAACTCTACCTTTAACCAATCTTTACATAATTTCAGATTCTGTGAGCAACATGTGATTTTGTGCCACAGTAACCAGCTAGAGCATGATTTCAATGTCCCAGTTTTCTAGGCTTTAGCTATGTGACATACCCAATTCAATTGTTTTAAAGCAACTTTAACAGATTATTTTATAATGCATAAAGGAAAGAGATCCATAATGTCCTTTTGAACAGACACCTGCTACAGGAAGGACTCCAGCTCTGCATTTGCCTCCTTCCCTGATACAAGGCTCTGCAGAGTGGCAGCTGGGACCCCTTACCTTCCTTCTGCTGCAGGTTCCTCAACAGCCCAGCCCAGAAAGGTCTCTGGATACTTTTCCTTACAGCCACCAAAGAAGGACTGAGATTGAATCATTTAAGTGTCCTAACAAATACAAATGGCACCCTGTTAAATAATCACAGTGCATTAAAATGTTGGTCTTAAAGAA